TGCGATGCTTCGACTCCATAACAGTTTGAGAAAAAGTTGAAGAGGTCCCCTGGAGGACTTACCCAGGTCGTCAGAGTTGTGCACTGACTCAGAGGCACAGTTTACCTTTGGACTATGAAGCTCTAATATGCTCACCAAGTGCCACCACCGGTCCCAGTTACTGGAGTATCGCACCAAATTGTCGTGAATGAACTCAAACACTAAAATGGTTTAACAGCAAACACCTTCTATTCTGTGTGAATAGATGTGTGACATCTAACAAACAAAATAGACACAGCATATCTGCAAAAACACTTCCTGCTGACTGTGAAGCATGGCGGCGCAGGGGTGATGAGTTGGGTTTGATTTACAGCCACAGGACTTGGGCACCTTGGAGTCACTGAATCATGTATGAAATCCTCTGTCCAATTTCAGATACAAAATTTAGCTGAAACTGGATCACGTGACAGGACAAATGACCACGAGCACAGCAGTGATGACCATTTCAGACTCCAGACTTCTTGCTGGTAAAGATGGTCCCACAACCTAACGTATCATGGACGTATCAGGTTAATTGAACTGGCAGGTTTCATGCTGTAAGGCAGGGCTGGGCACCTCCAGGCCTCGTGGGCCGGTGTCCTGCAAGTTTTAGATCTCATCCTGGGTCGACACACCTGAATGACATGATTGCAACTTCAAGACGTGTTGATGAGGTAATTTAGCCGTTTAAATCAGCTGTGTTGGTTCAAGGACATCTAAAAGCTGCAGGACACCGGCCCTCGAGGCCTGGAGTTGCCCAGCCCTGCTGTAAGGCAAAGAAAAGGGTTAAATTTGACTAATAGGGGGTCACTTTATTTGTTGTAGGTTTTGTAGCTTTAGTGATTTAGAAATTTGGAAAAGAACGTCCAAGCTTATTTCAAACTTTCTCAGGTGAGGGGGGGTTGTGGCTTCCTTGGGGGGAAATTACATTAGTCTCTTATATACAGTAATTGCCTGTAAGAAGGATTTCTAATGAATATTGAAGCCAGAGCTGCCAAACTGTTACACTCTTATAAATATTCCTCTAAGGATCTACGTGTGTTTGCCATTCCACAGTAGCGCATCTCGCATGACTTGCATAGCCTCTAGCTTTTATTGCATCATTTTTACACCATAGCGTCTCTATCAAAATCTTTTGGATACTTTCCACAGAAGCCATCGGAGCAGAAAGTGGTTCAGGGTGCCCAAACACGTCAAGTCTCGACTACTACAGCACTGTTTGCAAACAGGACAGCCATCGACTTCCTAATAATATGGTGCAATGTTTAAGTCACACTTTAGTCAATCTACAACCATCTATTCCTGGCTTTTGGCCACAAGTGAGTGAGGCAGAAGACACAGTGAGTCATCTTGGAAGAGCTGAGGAAAGATCTTTTTAACGCCATTAAGAAATGAGGGTATATTTTACCTCGATGCTTATCTGAAGGGTCGGCCTCACATGAGCCGAGTTTCCTGAATAACTGCAGAGTGAAGTCCAGAAAAACATTTACACAGATACAGTAAGTCTTTCCTCTTGGAAAAGACCCCATACATGACCTGACTCACTGCTCCACTCAAACAAATGTTTATCTCACTGTTTACCCATGCTCCGACCACCTGATTCCACCCCCATCCTGACATTTTGGTCCCCCCTTTGTTTATACTCCTTCGCTAATTGGAACACTTTTTTGTGCTTTTTTTATGTTTGGAGTCTTGGAAAGCCCATCTGTCACGCTCTAGTTCACCCACATAAAAAACAGTTTAACTGAGGTGATGTCATGACACAGCAGGACACCCGGTTGGAAGCACGCTAGACCAAATATGGACACCGGATGTTTGGGAGATGACTTAACTGCCTGTAAGAAAACCTATTTTAAGTAAAGTTGTTTATATATGTTGTTAAGATCCTCGTGACTCATGAAGGTCAGCGATGAAGTGATGATGTGAGTGTTGGGCCTGGTGAGCTTTCAGTACAAACAAGGGGCAACTTTTTGAACGCGTGGAATAAAGTCCAACGCAATGCAACCGCCACAGCAACACGGCCTCACAGAACGTGATTGTTGTTACCAAAACAAAGGTGGGGGGAGCAAACTTTTCAAAGAAATGGGGAAGATAGAGGATGGAGGACTCAGTGGAGGATGAGAATGAGTAACACAGCTGGAACGGCTGCAGAAAAATAAATTATGGTGCACAGCAGGCTCCCACCTCCTACTTTTGGGTTGGTCCTATTGATGTTTCACACGCTAGGCTCACTTTACTGAATGAAAGGACCGAAACTTGAAAAAATGTCAAGGATGGTGTAAGAGATGAGTGGCTAGATTTCCAAAGGATTAACTTCCTGCAAAGTTCTTTTGAAGTACTCTCATCTTTGCTGGATTTAAGTAAATGTCCCCATAACCATGAATCACATCTGTTTAAATTCAAACACCACAGGCTGGAGTGTCCATGCTCCTGCCTTTAATGCTGATGACAAGTCCTGACAACTGTTGGTATGGTTGACTCAGATTAAGAGGTTTTCACTGTAATGTTGCTGCAGCTTACTGTACACGTTGGTATCCAGGCGTGACGGCAGACTGTCAGAAAATAGCTCCGCTGCCTGCAGCAAATGTTTGCCTTAAAACTTCTCGTGTTCACGCTTTTGTCTCATGGAAGTCTCATTTTCATTATGAACCAACAAGCCACTGAGGTATTTGTCCAACTAGTCTCAACAGTTTCTGAATACCAACAAGGTTTATGTCACAAAGGGACACAGTAAAATGTCTGAAACTGAGACTTCCGAAGAAATTCCACCCAAGAGCACCAAGTGAAAGTGCAAGTGGCTGTGTAACAAAAGAAAGGAAAAAACACACACAGCTGCACACATAAAAAGAAAACATTCACACTTCAACCTTCTACAAGTAATTAAATGTGCTGTGTAATACGGAGCATGAAGTTATGAAGGGTGTAGCTCAAAGATAAGATTAGCTCTGTTGCTCCTGTACGGAGCAGAGGAATCACATTTATAAAGATATTCAAGTTATTACTGTAAATCCATAAGGACACAAAGCAAAACTTGCATGTGCATCATAATAGGCAGCTAGCTAGATCGACAGATACACACATCACATGTACAATTTCAATGTAATTTTGTTATATGAGTGAAATGACTTTAAATTTAATCTATTCAAATATAATCTGTACACATTCAGTTTCCACCTAACACAACATCCTTAATGATTAATTATTTGAATAAATAAACCTATGATTTCATATGTTTCAGCTGCATTTTATTATCATTATTATTATTTATTTTAAAATTGTTGGTCCATGTTTCTAAGGGCCAACGATTGTTTTTTAAGTGTATAAGTTTAACACTTATCAAGACCCACACCTTTTTATAAATCCATACATCCATCCGCTTCCGCTTATCCTTTTCAGGGTCGTGGGGGCGCTGGAGCCTATCCCAGCTGTCATAGGGCGAGAGGCGGGGTACACCCTGGACAGGTCGCCAGTCTCTCGCAGGGCTAACACACAGGGACAGACAACCAATCGCACTCACATTCACACCTATGGGCAATTTGGATTTTTCAATTAACCACAAAGTGCATGTCTTTGGACTGTGGGAGGAAGCCGGAGTACCCGGGGAGAACCCACGCAAACACGGGAACATGCAAAGTCCGCACAGAAAGACCCCGGCTCAGGACCTTCTTGCTGTGAGGCAACACTGCTAACCATCGTGCTGCCTTTTCATAAATGCAAACAAAAATGCAAACTGAACTTTATACAGAACTTTTATACATACTAATAATAATGGAAAATAGTGATATCCAGTCAAGCAGTCAATGAATTACATAAATAAGCTAGTTTAGGCTTTTATTCTTTCTGCACAGCACTACCCTCAGTATCCTTTAATTATACTACAGAGACTTTTAAAGACAACTTTAGTCCTGTATTGGTTAGTCCAATATACTCCAGTTGTCTTTAAGCCTTTTGCAAATATTTTTTTAATGCCTCATGAGATTTGATTTGATGATATCATAATGTTATTATTATATATTATGCCTCATATATGTAAATATATATATATATATACAGTGATGGGAATAACGAGTAATCTAACTAATTACTCCAGGTTATACTTGGCACAGATGTTCCTGTACACTATGCCGGCCACTTTGTTATGGCTTTCCATGTATGCCTTGCCTGCTAGCATCTTCCACCCTGCTGTTATGAGCTGGATTGTCTCTGGGGCATCTTTACACAGCCTGCACCTGGGGTCTTGCCTGGTGTGATTGACCCCAGCCTCTATGGATCTCGTGCTCAGAGCTTATTCCTGTGCTGCCATGATTAGTGCCTCTGTGCTGTCTTTCAGTCCAGCTTTGTCCATCCACTGGTAGGATTTCTGGATATCAGCCACCTCCCCTATCTGCCGGTGGTACATACCGTGTAGGGGCCTGTCCTTCCATGATGGTTCCTCGTCTCCCTCCTCCTTCTTGGGTTTCTGCTACCTGAGGTATTCACTGAGCATACATATACATATATATATATCTATATCTATATATATATATATATATATATATATATAGATATATATATATATAGATATATATATATATATATATGATGCATAAAAATAACAGATATTTGCTACCTGTATGTCTATGCTTGCACAAGCGTATTTACCAATGACTGTAAAAACAATCTTCTCTACAGTCATTGGTACATTGGTACTTACATTGACGTCGATTTAGTATGTTTTGGCGTCATCTGCCGGCGGTCACTGTCTGGAGTATATGTATACACCAGAGGTCACGAGGACGATTTTTTAAAAACTTAGACCTAGTTGCTAATACACGGTATACACATAATTATTTTGTTTGTTTGTTGTTTTGTTTTTACAGCTTAATACTTATGTTTTCAAGCGAGATTTGTTTAGGTTGACTAAACTGCTACCTCGCTTAAAAGAAATACATTTCCCATAATGCTTCAAATTATCAACTGCGCGTGCTCGTCTTGTAGTCGGGAAAAATGGCGGCACTCCTGCAACAGGAGTTGGAGGCTTCCGAACTAGCCAAGCTACCAAAAACAATTCAAAGTAAACTCGAGAAAATAGTTTCTGATCTGCGGTATGAAATCGATTCATTAAAAGCCCAACACGAGCAATTCCGGGTTGACAGCGGTAAGTTATTCCCTGTTATCCTGATAGCTAGCTGTGCTAAAGTGTTTGGCTTTGCTTACAGTGCATGCATGCCCGTTTTAAACCGTGCAATGTTAAACCTCAGAAGTTTGAACGTACTGAACATACTAACCGTCCTTTGTTTGTTACTTCATTTGTCCGTCAGGGGCTTTAAAATGTTGATTAAAGCTATCAAGCGATGAACCTGCGCTTTTCCAATAACAAGAACGAGATGCTAGCTAATGCTAGCACTAGTTAACCCTCTGAGCTAACCACTGCTTTTCATAGCAAACAAGATGTAAATAAAGCAAGAAGGCGATGATTCTGTCTTCTTGTCTTAGCTGTTTTGGTTTACCTTCTTGTTACAGAGCAACAGTTCTTCGAAAAAGTTAAACAGCTTTCCCAATGTCAAGAAGACTTCCTGTCTCACACTCAAGAACATCTTAAACTCAAAGATGAGTTTAACAGACTTGGTGAGAATAATATATTTAGGTTTTCTGATCGGACTCGGACTGATTCCACTTATGACTCCACAATGTTGACCTTTATTCTTTCTGCTAACTTTCATTTTTTTTTCCTGAAGGAGAGGAACTCCAAAGTGTTCGCGAGAAGAACCGAGAATATGAATCTGCACAACAGAGGTTGTCATCAGAGCAGGTAGGGAATCCGAAAATCACCGATAACCGCTTTGTGTTAAAGAATGTTTCTAATTTATTTTAGTCTATCGGGAACTGCAGTGGTCATGTCCTCTGGAGCCTGAGCATTTATTATTGCTGTTGGTGTGAGGTTCAGAGTTATTACGAACAGTTTTAGAACAATCAAGCTTTTTTTTAGCAAGAATGTTTGTAAAAACTGTACGTAGGCAGGTGATCAAATCAAACATAACAATAGAAAAAGGTTTAACACAGTTTGACACCCAAGATTTAAATCCTACTTGCGCTTATGCCATAACTTCCACGTTTAATGTAAAAGGAGCCCATTCCTTCATTTTCATTAATAACACTGGATTGACCAATTAGATCTCTTAACGTGACCAGCCCCTCCCCTTTTGCACTCATGCACCTTGTAGAAGTTTCTTGATAATGAAAATATATGTGTAAAGAGGGAATGTCTGCGTTACTAAACTGCTTTGGATGCTTTAAGGATTTAAGATGTGCTTAATTTGTAAGTATTATAACACTAAGCACTCTGTTTAAATTCATGCATTTGTTTAGACTGTGCTGTCCAAAGCCAAAGATGAATTGGAGGCAGAAAAGCGAGAACTTGTGCGAACACTGGAAAGGAGATCCTTAGAAGTGGAGAACTTAAATGGTATGAAAAGAACATTTTTATATAACTTCATATGTATTGCATCTATATTGTAAATGTAAAATCTCACCTCTACATAACAGAGTCATTTCTTTTGCTCTTCCAGATGACCTGAGGCAACTCAATGATAAGTTGGTGGAAGTGAACTCGTCAAAGATGACCCTGCAGATGAAGTTGGATGATCTCGAAGCAGCTGAAGTCAACATCAAAGTGAGTTGATATTTTCATGTAGATTTAATATCTTAACACCACCTGCGAGAGAAAGTTGTTTTCTGTTTTCTGTGGTTATCAGCAGATCACTGATTGAAGTTGTCATCTATTCTAGTATAAGGAGAAGCGAATGGAACAAGAGAAAGAGCTGCTGAACAGTCAGACAGCTTGGCTTAACGAGGAGCTGAAGGCCAAGAGTGAGGACCTGCTGTCCCTGTCCCGGCAGAAGGGTAACGAGATCCTGGAGCTGAAGTGTTCCCTGGAGAATAAAGAAGATGAGGCAAGTCCCTTTTTTTGTTGATTTTGGTTTTTTTGTTTTTTCTTTGGGATGTTTATGTCTGAAGAAGTTTGTCGCGATAGTCTTGGTTTGTTACTTTGATCTCAGTGCTCATTGTGCCTTGAGTGTAGGCAGTTATTTATTTTGAGACTGTGTAGAACCTTATTTGACTTGTCATCTGATGCCATTTGTGATTTCTAGATGAAAAAACTCCAAGATCAAGTGACCAGTCTGAAGACATCAAACGAGAACCTTCAGAAACAAAATGAGGAGATGATCAGCAAACTCAAAGAAGTATGTCTGTTTGCAGACAGTAATTCCTTTTTAATCAAACCCTTTGGTATTATGTAAACTTACATTATAATGAAGGCACTCGGAGTGAAAATGAATGGTTGGATTTGAACTTGTTTTAGGCCAAGGAGCAACACACCAGCATGGAGGAGAAGTTACGAAATGAGCTCAATACCAACATTAAGCTTTGCAATTTACACAAGGTATGTACACGTGCAAAATGAAACCATGTGGTGTGGTACCATTATTTCCAAGTTTGCATTGGTAAATTATTACGTTACGTTATGATTGTAGCGCCCGTGATCAACAACTTCTAAATTTGTTACCAGGATTCAAATTCAAAGATTCAAAGTGTTTATTGTCATGTGTCACAAGAGAAAAGTCATTTCTTTGTGCAATGAAATTCTTTCTTTGCTGACCCACAGATGTCGGTTAATTATTGTTTGTGTGTTCTTGGCTCAATAAAATTGTTATAAGGAACTTGTGATTTAAAAACATAATCTTTGAGTGTTTACATATTTAATTAAAATGACAGTGCTTAAGCTTTACGTTTGTAAATGCAATGAATGCCTGCATGTATTTGCTCGGCTTCTTTGCCGGTGTTTGTTATACTTCACCGTTTATTCTGGCAGGGAGCAGCTGCAGATTCTGAGGCCAAAAGCAAAGAGCTGAGTCAGGCGGTGGAGGAGCTGCACAAGCTGCTGAAAGATGCCGGTGAAGGTAAAAGGCTCCTCTGTAATCATGTTTTCTATCCTAGAAGGACAGAAGATGTTCAGTTTGTTTGCTCGTGTAGTTGCAGGTTGTTGGGATTTTAGAGTCTTTGTTTTTCTTCCCTCCTTGACAGTCAACAAGACTCTCAAGGATAAGTTGCAGGAAATGAATGGCGTCACAGACAAAACTGTCGGTGAGCTAAAGGACAGGATTCAGGGCCTTGAGAAGGAGCTGGACAATGCCAATGAACTGCTGTCAAGTTCCAAACTTAGAGGTCAGTGGAGTTGATTTTTATTCCTGTCTTCATTTCATTGACATGCTGATTATTTGTAGGCAATGCAAAATTAATTTTCTGGAACTTCAGCCAAGCCTTGCGTGGATTTATTTTATTTATTTATTTATATTTAATGTGATCATTTGAACTTTCTCTTTGTCTGTCCAGGCCCTGTTGCCTCAACATCCATTCTGACAGAACAGCAAATGACAACAATGTCTCCAACAGCCGCTGCTATATCCAAGATAAAACCTGGTATGAAGCTGACTGAGGTGCGTACAGCTCAGGGTTAAGTTTCATTACAAATTTCATTACTCTAGAGTTGTGTGTCTTGCTTGTTCGGATTTCTTACCGACGTGTGTTGAACTAACAACAAGATGTTTGATTATCACGTCTTCAGTTGTATACAGCATACGTGGAGAGCCAGGAGCAGCTGCAGTTGGAGCGGTTGGAGAACAAGCGAGTCAACAAGTATCTGGACGACATTGTGCAGGAAGTGGAAGCGAAAGCCCCCATCCTGAAAAGGCAGAGGGATGAGCATGAGCGCATGCAGAAATCAGTGGCCAGCCTTTCTGCCAAGCTGGAGCAGGCTGTTAAGGTTTGTAATGGAGCCGCGTTGTTTGCGTGATCAAATAGATTTTTGCTGCTTTTTAATTGACAAGAAAACCGTAAACAGTGACTGCTAATAACAAGCAACGCTCGAGCTTTCCGTTCACGTTTGTTACAGGAGGTTCACCGCCTGCAGAGCGAGGCCGACGAGGCCAACAAGCGCTCCTCGGTCCTGGAGAGAGACAATCAGAGATTTGAGCTTCAGCTCGCTGACATGGCTCAGCAGGTGGGTTCGTCCTTTTCTTTGTGTGGATAAACTTTGTCAGTCTTCAAAATAATGACCGAAATAATCAAATCACTCAAATAAAATTTCTCTACTACCCCTTATCGTTTCTTCTAGGTTCGCGTGCTGCTGATTGAGCTCGAAGAAGCTCGTGGGAACCACGTGATTCACGAGGAGGTGGTGAGCTCAGCTGATGTCAGCAGCACGTCAGAGGTGATCAGCCAACACTTGGTGACTTTCCGTAGTGTGGAGGAGCTTCAGAAGCAGAACCAGCGTCTTCTTGCGGCCCTCAGAGATCTCAGTGAAGCCCAGGAGAAGGAGGAGTTTGAGGCTACCGGCAATAAGTATGTTACAATGTTTACTACTTTTTTATTTATTTATTTAGCCAGAGTTTTGCATCTGACCTAAAATATTATCTCACCTTTTCCCCCACAATGAACTGTCTCAGGCACGGGGAGCTGGAGCAGAGTTTGGGGAAGGCCCAGGCTGAGCTGGAGTCTTTGAGAGAGCAACGCAGCCAGCAGATAAAGATGACCGAGTCCATTGTGAGGCAGAGGGACATGTACCGAGTCTTACTGGCTCAGGCGACCGGAGTCAACTTCCCACAACAAGGTAAGAACGTGAACACTTGCATCTTGAAAATCATAAACGAATACTGTTTATAGAATTCGATACACTAATTTCACAGCAGTTTTACACGTTACACAGAATTTGAATATTTGAGTTTGCATGTTGTTCGCTCTGGCTTCCTCCCACAGTGCAAAGACATGCAGTTAGTGTTAACTGGAAACTCTAAATTGCCGATAGGTGAGAGCGAATCGAATGTCTGCCTCTGTGTTCGCCCTGTGACAGACTGGCGACCTGTCCAGGGTCTGCGCTGCCTCTCCGCCCTCCCGCGACCCTGAAAAGGATAAGCAGAAGAGCACGGATGAATATTTGATTGTTTATCCACCAGGTACACCAACTGAAGAATTCTCCCTGACGTCTACCCCACGTCGTTCCCCCGCGGCCACTCCCACCGCAGGAACACCCACCGCTCTTGTTTCCATGGCCACAGAGTCTGCTGAGGCGTTGGAGGCCAAGGCGGCTCTGCGACAGGTGAGCTAAATTTGCCTCACAAGACGGAAACTGAAAATATTTATTTCTTTTATTTTATTCTTTTATTTCTTTTCTTCATTAAAAGCTTGGGACTTTGCATCGTGTTGCTCGTGCTGGCCACCAGATGGCACAGTGCCCACATAAAGACGTTTGTAGGTCTCTGAATCACAGACAGCAGTGTGTTTATTGGCAGACTTTATTGGCTTTTAAATGACTGCTTAGATTCTATCAAACGTTGGATGGCTGTAAATTTCCACCAACTCAACGAGGGAAAACTGAAGTCCTCATATGTGCTCCGGACAGATTTGTATCCCAGATAGTGAAAGCCCTTGGTCCTCTTTCTGTGTATGTTAAATCCTCTATCAGGAATTTAGGTGTCACTTTTGACTCGCTTTTTATTATTTAAGAAATGTGGCTAAGTTAAGCCCTATTTTATCTCGTCCTGAACTGGAGATAGCTATACATGCACTTATTTCCTCACGCTTGGACTGTTGTAACTCTTTTTTCATGTGTCTAAGCAAAGGTTCTCTGGATCGTCTGCAGGTTGTGCAAAACGCTGCAGCTAGACTTTTGACAAAATCCTCCAAGTATTCTCATGTGACACCGTTGCTGTTTCAGCTACACTGGCTTCCTGTTGAATTTAGAGTTCATTTTAAGATCCTGGTCTTGACATTTAGAGCCTTGCATAGACTGGCACCAGCCTACATCTCCGATCTGCTACAGCCTTACGTCCCCAGCAGGTCCCTGAGGTCATCTGATCAGGGCTTACTTGCTATAAAACAGACTAAGATGAGAATTAAGGGTGACGGAGCTTTTGCCACAGTGGCCCCGAGACTGTGGACTCTCTCCCTCAGACATTAAGATCTGTGGACTCGGTCGTTGTTTTTAAAAAAAACAACTCAAAACTCACCTTTTTAAAACTGTTTTTGGTTAAATTTCTGCCTGTTTTATATTGTCTGTTTTACCCTTTTATTATTTGTTATCTTATGTGCAGCACTTTGTGATTCTGTCTAGAAAGGTGCTATAGAAATAAAATTGTATTTATTTATTTACTAACACCTCTATCAAAGTAAATAAAATGTCTGGTTTCTTTGCAGTTGCAGGACGTCTTCTCCACCTATAAGAAGGAGCGCGCGGAGAGCGAGAAGGCGATGACCGAACAGAACGAGAAACTCCAGGAACAGCTCTCGGAGCTCCGCTCCCAGAATGCCAAGATATCCACACAGCTAGAGTTTGCTTCCAAAAGGTAATTTAAAAAAAGTGTGTGTGGGGGGGGTGTAGCAGGAACAGAACTTGGGAGCATGTGAACTTTTCAGGGGAAATGTCCACTGTTAAAATCAAACATTTAATCACAAGGACATCAGTCAGCAGAAGTGACGTCAGCTTTTTACGCTCTCAGGTACGAGATGCTGCAGGACAATGTCGAGGGCTACAGGAAGGAGATTGCTTCACTGAGAGAGAAAGGACAGAAGATGGAGGCTGCCACACAAAAGCTTGAACAGACCGTCCACACGTTGAATGAGGATCTTAAAGAGTCCAAGGAGAAACTCGCCATGGCTGAGGTTTGCCCCGTATCCAGTGTCATATTTGTGCTTCGGATCACTTTGGAGTTGGACGTGTCCCTGCTCCAGGATATACTGAGACACGTACTGTGAACTGAATCTCATCCACCTTTTCAGGGCCGTGCTGAGAACTTGCGTAAGGAGAGAGACATGCTGAAGCTGGTCGAGTCCCGGCTGAGTCAGGAGAAAGAGACGATTCTGAGCCAGCAGCAGAGCCAAAACCTGCTGCTGACCAACCTCCAGGCTATTCAGGTAATCTGAGGTTGTTTTTTTTCTGTCAGTGTCTGACTGTCACATCTTCACGTAAACAAAATTAACGTTACCTTTTCTGTTCTTTTAGGCCACTCTGGAGCGCTCTGAGGTCGACACACGTCAGCGTCTGAACAGCCAGCTAGAGAAACAGGAGCGAGAGATCTCCCAGCTACAGAAGAGGCTTGAACAGGAAGTGGAGCAGCGCCACCTGCTCAGCAGAAACCAGGAAGTAGGCATCCAATAAAACAGTTTCTATCATCTTTTGTAGGCCAGAGAAGGATGCAGATATAGTGCTAATGATTTTCTTTTTTTCATATGCACAGATTCAGTTAATGGATGCAAAGAGGCAGTTGGAGACACAAGTCGCCTTACACCAAAAAACAAAGGAACAACTTCATGCCGCCGAGTCTGAGCTCAACACCCTCAGGATGCAGCAAGGCAGCATCGAAGGGCGTCACATCCTGAGCTCCCCCTCTACACCGATCGGCAGAGGTCGGCATTAAATGTTTACAGACAGAAGTTGTTAAACTAACATTCACAATAAAATCCAGACACGTACAAACCTAAATTCTTTGTATGTTGTCGGAATGTCATGAAGTACCACGAGGCATGTTTAGCGTCGTCATTCTTTTGGATCCTACGTTCTAGTTTGAATGTTTGAGACGCAAGTAAATTGCTCAGATGTTCCAGTTTTATCTGAACTTTTAAAAGCCTGAGTGTTGCACTCAATGTCTAAAACCGCGCTCCTTTTGAAAATCTGTGGGAACTTAAGCACAGGTTCTTCAAACTTAATTGGTATATTTGATTAGTGCACATTTGCGTCCCCCTTTCTTACACAACGACTTCAAAATGCTTTACTCGCTTGCAGGCCTGCCTGGTTCAGATCAAGACAGAGAGGACCTACGAGGCCGCCTGCAGCTTGCTGAAACGCGGGTTGAAGAGCTTGCAGAGAGCCTCCGGGCCACCACATCCAGCATGGAGCAGTACCAAGCGATGGCTCAGAGCCTCGAGGAATCGCTGGAGAACGAGAAACAGGTTGGGGGCTCGATCGTGAAACAACGTCAGCTCATAAAACATCCAAATAGGACAAAAAATATGAAAGTGGAAAACATTCAAAGGGTTGTTGCTGTTAATCAAATAAAAAGTTGTTTTAGTTTATGTTGACATTGTAACTTTATATGGAAGTACAGACGATACAGATGTGATTCAAGAAGCTTCACAGTCTGCTACTGTATGAAAGTTAAAAAGTAGCCACGAGGCAGCTCAATATTATTTATTATTGGTGTACACAATGATCAGGGTTGAGATTGTCTCAACAATTACAAATTTGGCACGTTAAGTTTTAAAAATCACGTAAATGTTTTGTTTTTCTAAATGTAATGTGACGTGTGTGACAACCAGGTGACAGAGCAGGCGCGCTCATCCATTGAAGGCCGTATGAAGGAGGCCGAGGAGCAGCGCTGCAGACTCGAAGAGAAGCTTCTGCAAGCAGAGAAAGAGAAGCAAGACCTGAAGGAGCAGAAGAAGAGTGTCCTGGCTGCTCTGGAGGAACAAGTACGAAAGCCTTGTTATAACCAGGCACAAGTGAAAAATGCGTTTACTTGTTTCTGTTACTGGAAACATTTTTGTTTGTTTGTGTTAGATAAATGACCTGAAGAGAAGTCTTAGCAGTGCCCAGGCAGACCACCAGGCAGCGCTACAGCAGGTTGCAGTCGTTGAAGCCCAGAAACAGCAGGCTATTAAGGACTGCCAAGATCAGGTAAGCAGTCATAATAAAATATTACATGGAGGAAAATAATCCAAGTGTGGAATATTCTGGTTTGAGGTCACTTAATGCAGGTAAAAATCAAAAATATGAAGTAATTTGTGGGGAGAGGGGAAGAAATGTTGAGAAACTCTGATATGCAGAGATTGACTCCAAACCTTCTTTTGCTCTTCAAGGTTAAACTGGCAGCTGAAGCTCAAGATAAATATGAGCGGGAGATGATGCTGCACGCAGCGGACGTGGAAGCCCTGCAGGCAGCTAAAGCCCAGGTCCTGCAGGCTGCAGAGCTCAAACACCAGCTGGGGGAGAGAGAGCAGAGGATCAGTGCTGAGCTACTGGAGGCCAGAGTGTCATGGGAGGAGCAAGAGAAGATCCTCAAGGTTTGTTTTACATTACATAAATAGATTAGATATGTTATGTTAGATATATTATGATATGTTTTAATTCGTCTTAACTCGTCTGACAGGAGGAGATGTCCAAGATGGAGAGCCGCTATGAGGAGCTGCAAAGGCAGAACACCCTCCTTCATGAGCAGATCCAGGCCATGAGCAGCAAGATGGCAGATAATTTGCAGCGTGCTGCCAGTGAAAGTTCCCTCAACATATCTTTGACTGAAGAGGGAAAATCCCAGGACCAGCTTCTTGAGATTCTCAGGTAACGGGCTTATCTAGCTTACACTGCAGGATGTTCTTGCACAATCATGATTTCACTATTTCTAAGAACGGTTGATCCGCATTGTTCATCACAGGTTTGTACGTCGGGAGAAGGAGATCTCAGAGTCTCGTTTTGAGGTCGCCCAAGGGGAGACTTTGCGTTACCGTTTGAGGGTGGAGCATTTGGAACGAGAGCTGAAGGAGGTGCAGGACAGTTTGAGCGCTGCTCGAGAGAGGATGCAGGTTTGTTTGTTTACTCGTTGACTCAGTACTTCTGGTTTGCGGCTGTACCGAGCGCGCAGATCACCTACGGATTTTCTTTATCTTACACTTTACTCTGTTTCAGGTGACAGCGAAGACCCTGGCTCAGCACGATGAGCTGATGAAGAAGACGGAAACGATGAGCATCCTATTGGAGACAAACAAGAGTCTGAGAGAAGAGAGGGATAAGATGGAGCAGGAACTGCAGCAAACTCAAGCCAAGGTCAGTCTCACTGATGACTTGAATCTCACATGTTCTCCAGCAGTGCACTGGAGATTAGTTTCTCATTTGTACACTATAACCACTCGATTATCCAAATATTGCAAGTGTTTAAATTTGATGTTGACAACACCCACGAGAAGAGCGTCATTTTATTTTCCCTTTGACGATCAGTGCATGCTACGTGGAGTCTGGAAAGTCTTCTGTACATTTCAAATTTTGCGTTAACATCTACGTATTTTAAGAGTTTTGGTGGTCAAAGGTTATTGTGACCATAAAAATGTCCAAAAACACCAACATGTTGAATCTGAATGGTCAGCTTAATTTATGATCATTATTCACACCTGTAACTCACAGACAGGGTGAGTTATAGTGAATGAGTGCCCACGTATCAGATTTCTGTATAGTCTTACATACACTCACTGCGTTGTCATCTAACTGACATAATGCTTTCCGTAGCTGCTCACCCTAACCATCAAAAATGGATGCCTAACCGTGACCTAATTGTAACCCTGAGACTAAAACCACATTTTGAGTCTGAAAAATGCTTTCAAACTCGCGAGGACCGGGATTTTGTCCCCACAAGGGCTTTTGGCCCCACAAAGATATGTAAACACAGAAGATGTGTAAAAAATAAATAAATTCAACCGACACTCGTCAGTCCGGTCGACATATTTGCACATGCGCAGACTTTTTGATGGGCGGAGCAATGTAATCATGCACGGATTTGCGCGTTAACAAGAGGAAGTCCAAACATGGACGAACTAATTTCCAAAAAAATTAAGGCTGTCAGGGTTAACGCGGTTAACGATTAAAAATTATTAACGCGCTCAACACATCTGGAGCGCAGAGTGAACAAATGCGTTGACGGAGACATTTCAGGGATTTTGACTCAGTCTGCGCACAGATGGGTTAATTGTTAATCGCATTTGTCTTGATGACGGCGCATTAACGCTGACAGCAATAAAAAAAATCTAAAGTCACCAATTTGGGATTTCTTTGGCTTTAAACCAGATGAAAGAGGTAAACCTGAGGATGTAACCAAAGCGGTGTGCCGCTTGTGCAGACGTGTAGTGCGAGCAAAGGACTCAAACACGACTAACTTGCATTAACATGTACGTGCTGAGTATGCTAGGCTATCACCAGCTTCTGCAGGAACAAGCATTTGCTCGCAGATGAAACAGGGTGCTATTATTATGTTTTTTCTGTTGACTGCTTCTATTAGCTCCATCACTATTAGCAAACGTACTCATGGGCAAATAAATAAGTCACTCTTGTAAAAACGATCGCCAGTGGGCTCAGCCTATCGGTGATAGTCGACGTATTCGTTCAATCGCCGAACCCTAACAGACACACACAGTCTAGACAGACATAAACTGCAGACTTGACAACTCGGTGGAGGAAATCAGCAGCAAAGCGGCAGCTATGTTTGAAATCTTCTCAGTGTCTGAGTATCTCTTGTGTGTTCAGGTGCAAAAGCTGGAGTCGGACATCTTGCCACTGCAGCAGGCCAACTCTGAGCTGAGTGAGAAAAGCGGCATGCTGCAGGCAGAGAAGAAGCTGCTGGATGAGGAAATCAAACGCTGGAAGGCTCGTACTCAGGTCGGTGCAAAGACCCAAATATAAACAAAAAGATTTTATTTTGTACACGAAGGGGAAAAATTACATTTGTCATGAGACAGACTTCTAAGTTGTGAGATGAATGACTAGTTGTCCTTATGTCGCTCTAGCATTTGGTGAGTCAGCAGAAAGATTCGGATCCAGAAGAGTACAAGCGTCTGCATTCTGAGAAGGAGGCGCATCTCAAACGTATCCAGCAGCTGAATGAGGAAAACAACAGACTTAAATCTGAGGTGGTCAGGTGAGGAACTACATACAGGTGCTGAACTGGGCTCTCCTGGTCTGTTCTTTCTTCCCCTGTCTTCATTCATTTTAGTTTTCTCTTCTTTTCTCTCCATAGGACAAATAATCTTACAGCTTCCCTACAGAACCAAATACAAAGCTTGCGTGACAGTATGAGTAAGATAACCGAAGACAAGAACGCGCTGCAGAAGGAGATTGAGACCAAAAACCATGAACTCCAGGAGAAGATGCGAACCATCGCACAGATCAAGAAGATCGGACGGCGTTACAGGACGCAGTACGATGAGCTTAAGGTGGCGCACGACAAGGTACTTGTTACCATTACAGCTTAAACTTCAATCCAAAGCCTGAAGTTAAAGTGGGTGGTTGTAAAATGTGTTTTAATTTATCACGATCTGGTGATAAATTAGTTCATCAGTAGTACAGTTGTGCTTCCTTGAGGTTAAACTTTAACTCCATATGTACTCCAGCTTGTAGCTGAGGCCGCGGCAGGCCCATCCCAAGAGGAGGAGGCTCGTCAGGCCTCTGTTCAGGAGCTGCAGAGCCTCAGAGATTCTCTGAGTCAAGCTGAAGCTCGGAGTGCAGACCTAGAAGGACAGCTGGAGAACATGAACAAGGTAGGAAAACTTCCCCCCGTTTTATATGCGCTGATAAACCTGATAAAGTGTTTAGACAATTCTGCACGCTTACCTTAGGTGGTCACGGAGCGTGAGACCGATGCACGTAACGCCCAGGAACAATCATCTCGGCTGCAGACGGAGCTGACCAGGCTGCGGCAGGAGCTGCAGGATAAAGCTTCTCAGGAGGACGCGCTCCGACAGCAGATGGCTGAGAAGGAGGAGAAGACCAGGAAAGCCATCGTTTGTGCCAAGCAGAAGATCAACCAGCTCATGGGTGAGGGGACAACCATAAACTCCTGATTTTTACCAGTTACTTGCTCTTCCTCACATCGCTTGGCTCTGCGTAACGAGCATCGCTTCTCACTTCGAATCTGTGACTTTTGCTATTTATGACCAGGCGCTAAAGACCAGTTGCAGAAGGAAAACGAGGAGCTAAAACAGCAGCGTGAGGAGCTGGAGGTGCGAGTGAGCGCTCTGAAGTCTCAATACGAGGGCCGTCTGAGTCGGCAGGAGCGAGAACTCCGAGACCTGCGAGGTCAACAGGAGAGACAAGAGCAGCGAGATGAGCCAGCTGAGGCAGGTCCCAGCAAGGTGAGGATGTTGTTTACTTTAGTCTACTTACACTGGTTCGCTGTGATATAAATATTTTAATGTTTTAGGTATGTGTCACACAACTAAAACACGATTATCTGCAAGCGTTGCTAAAATTGTGTCTTTATTTTATCAGTGTTCTCTATTTTGATGGCTTAACTATGTTGGATTGGAGAAGTACAGCGAGTTTAGTGACCGTTCGGCGTCCTGATTCTGAGCATTTTCTTTCTTTCGGTGCTTTTAGACCCAAGAGCCGCAGAGGAGCACAGAGCAGAGGCAGATCAGCCTGAAGACCACTCCAGCTGCAGACAGGGGCAGGTAGGGGCACTATTTAAGCATGGAGGAGTATTTAAAAAGTCTTACTCAGTATGCATCAATGCATTTCATGAGTTTTGTATTTGTCTTAATGCTGACTTTATTCATTTGACTGGTGGCTGGTCCACACTTGCACTTTTCTGAGTTTTTGCTGTTTGACACTCGTTTGGTCGTGCCGCTGACTTCTGCAATCTCAAAATGAAATGGCAGTGTAGGTGCCACGTCTGGACTTTGGAGGAGAGAGTATCATTTTCTTAGTGGATCTTTGAGGTCCAGAGAACAATGACTCATCCTAATGCTTGTCTCCGTCAGTGCCAGCACCTCCGAGCCTCCAACCGCCAACATTAAGCCTACACCTGTAGTTGCTACAGCCAGTAAACAGCCCGTCAACCCAGGGAACAAACCCACTCCGAGAGCAAGCATCAGGCCCATGATCACCCCAGCTCCTGTGCCCACTCCTACGCCCACTGCTACGGTCATGCCCACCACCCAGGTGGAGACGCAGGAAGGTAGGTTTAACGGCAAAGCTTTAGCTGAGCTGTTAGCGAGTCCGTGAGTAGGAAACTAACCGCAGGTTTGGTTTTTTTTAGTCATGGTAAAACCTGCAGTGTTTGTAATTTTTATTCTTGGACAGTGATGCAGCCAGCTGAAGGGCCACCAGTGGAGCACGTGACCGTGTACGGCAGTGCGAGCGGCTCGGTGCGCTCCGCCAGCCCCAACGTCCAGACGACCTTAGCTAGCCCCATGCTCACTGTGCAGCAGACCCAGACACAGGCCACCGCATTCGTTCAACCAACGCAGCAGCAGAGCATGACCCATACAGAGCCAGCCAATCAGGAGCCACCGCCTGTGGCGATCGAGGCCACGCCTAGCTCGCAGGTGGAGCGGCCGTCAACGTCGTCCTCTGTGTTTGGAACCGGTGAGAGATGATGTTTTTGAAAGCCGAGGCGATATTTTGTTTTAGACGACGAGGTTTTTTCTTAATTCTTTAACCAACGATAGCCACACTTTCTCTCCAGTGTCAGCAACACCGGGGACATCAGCAATGTCCAAGCGTCCTCGGGAAGAGGAGGAGACCGCCAGTGTGGTCACTGACACTGAAGCCACTCAGGAGGACACCTCGCGGGCTCCCATATCAAAGAAGCTGCGCATTATCCAGAGAGTGGGTCCAGAGGTGAGGCTGGACTGATGCACATAAAACTCCATGGTTTTGATTGTTTGTTTGTTTTAAATTTGAGCGAATGTTGATGCGCCGGTTCTGATTGTAGGAAGAGGTGCTGGCCGAGGATAGCGCTGAGGCCGAGGGAGTGGTGCCGACAGACAGTCTAGACGGTGGAGAAGGAAGCCAGGTTGGCCCAAACATTTTTAGTTTTGTACATCAGCTGATAATTACCATCATTTAAATCTTTGCAGTGATTAAAAGTAAATAAATAGACTCAATCTCAAAGCTGCCAATGAGGATTTCATAATGTTGTACCATAAAACAGTTTTCACCATTGTAGCAGTACCATAAAGTAGTCTTGTGATAATGTTGTCACATTCATGCAGGAATTGTGCTGGTATCTAGTTTGCATGATGTTTTGCGTTGTCACTTTTTCGCCCCGCAGACGGAGGCGTTTTCCACGCTGGAGGATGGAGATGAAGGCACAGCCTCCCAGTCCCTTACAATGGAGCAAGAGGTTACCCTGAGCCAAAGCGAGACCACGCAACAACTGCAGCAGGAAGTGATCGTTATCGTAACGGACACAGAGAGTGACGAAGAACAAGAGGAGGAGGAAGACGAAGACGAAGAGCAGGTACGGCAGTTTTGTTCAATTTTTTTTTTTTTTTAAAGACTACATTTAAAACGGTGAAAATTTGTCTTACAAATTTGCCGGTTTCCAGGACTACGATGACGAGGATGAAGAAGATGAAGACGAGGAGGAGGAAGATGACGAGGAGGATGATGATGACGGAGAGATGGGAGAGGAAGGAGAGGACAGCAATGAGGGCAGCGGCGATTGCAACGAGCCCTACGAAGGAGACGACACAGAGGTAAGAGTACCTGCAGCTCCAGCTGTGACCTCTGCCACCCACACGCCGTGTTAACCCTTCCCACTCGCTGCCTTTCCCGCTCACACACTCAGTTTTTCCACACGCTCTCGTTTCACCGTCACTTACATGCTGCCCCTGTGTCGTAACGTCCTGTCTGCGCGCCTGTGTTGACTTTAGCTGTTTACATTTTTACTCGAGTCTTCGTTGCACATATTCAGTAGGATGAGTCAGTGTCTGCAAGGGAACAGCTAACGAGCTTTTTACTTGTAATCTTTGTGTGAGGTTTTGGAATAATGATACACGTGTTATATTCAAAGGCAGGTATCTGAACCAAGTTAAATAGAAACTATTCTCTTTATACACGATAGAAAATGTTAAATAGCACGGATTAAACTATAAAATGTGTAAACAAAAACAGCTTAGTATTACTTGGGTAACAAACATGTACCCACAGTTACTGTCCCTCCATTTAGAAAGACGGATGCATCAGAGTGAACTTCATTCAACACCGACGTCGGGTTTGAATACATTTTAAATTAAAATGTATGAATGCTGTATGCATTTTGTTCATTCCTAAGTTGAGTTGTGAGTCTATACCAGCCAAAATACTGTTTTTGGTTATTAGCATTTAAAATATAAAGGCTCTCTAAAAGTAACACAGAATTAGCTGCCTTTCCAAAAAACCCCAAAAACCTTTCAGAAGTAGTTACAGTTTGCATAAAACCCTGTTTACTGTTTCCCTGCCAGGCTTCTACACTTCTAATGGGCCAACATTTCTACACAGCTAGGATTTGGCACGTTCTTGACAGCGTTTAAGTGCATTTTTAGCGTTTACATGTGGACGGAGATATTTTTCAAAACTGCAGTTTTCAAAAGTAGCCTACGTCCACACATACACGGGTAAGTTTAGTGACGGCAGCGGGGAAAAAGCTGTTTCTGTAACTGCATCTTGGCGCTAGACACCTCCAGAGAAGCAGCTGAAATTAACTTAAAGTCATTAAATTTTTGGTTTTATTTTGTTGTATTTATCTGCGACACCTTAAAGGCCGGTTCGTGAAAATATTGTCGGGCACAAACCGGTCTGTGGCGCAAAAAAGGTTGGAGACCGCTGCCGTAGAGGACGGGGCCGTTCTTAAGAATCGATAAAGCCATCCGTAGTACCTGTTTAGAGTACAGGGAGGCTAAGCCGGACTCGCCTGTTAGACCACTGGACCGTCTCACTATCTGATTCAGAGTTTTTCTCTGTGACGGAGGTCAAACTTCTTCTTTTTTTTTAACCTCTCGGCTTCTCTCACGGTTGTTTTAGTGAATCATAATCTGCATGTGATGCTCTGCCAGTATACCCTGGCACTGCTCCGTTTTATGACCTTTCTCTTTCGGCGTTTCCTCTCACTCATCAAAGTTATGTTACTCGTTGGTCTTACCTTCGTTTGCCAAATTTAGCCTTTTTTAAACTGAGTGGTTTTGAATTTCTTCTTTGACTCGTTTCCTTTTATTTCCCCTCGTTTCTCAGGGAGCTGACGTAACGGAGCCGGGCACTGAGACGGAGGAGAGTCTGGGGGCGTCCGACTCCACCCAAAGGCCGGCGGATTCCCAGACACCCAGCTGTAAGCTCCAGGAAACCCTGTCGAATACGTAGCTGTGCCTCAGACTCTGCATGCGCTCACAAACCGTCCCGCCATCCAATTAGTATCCACAGTCTGCGATGACTGAGAAAGATGTCGTGTTGTGTTTTCTGTCTGAAAGCGGGCGTAACAAAGGTCACTGCTAAGAAGAGATTTGCTTTACGGGAAAAATAAGCAAATTAACCCGACTCACTTATGTTTTAGGTAAAAGGAGGTTTAAATGTCACAAGTAACTGAGATACTGATTATAAAGGGAGTTACTTTGTTTACATTTTTGGTGTTTTAAAGTATATTTATCTAAAATCTTATTTTCTCTTGTTCATTTGAACCTTTGAATTCTGTTTTAGTTGAGAGTGGCACAATGGAGGCTTTCTCTGCAGAGCAACCCACAAGTTCTGGTACACGCATGCCCCAGTCGCCACGGAGACCAGTGCATCAGCTGCCTTCACAGCGTATCCCAGTGCGCCGCCAGTCAGTGGGCAGACTTGCTCCCGGTGTGCCGGGCAGCGCTGTGAGTCACATCGAAAGGCTGAGAATTTACATCATGATACTCCTACGAACCTCTGTGTGAAACCTTGACCCCCTTTTCTTCCCTCTTTCAATCTGCAGCAGCACTTTTTCGATGAGGATGACAGGATGGTTCCCAGCACTCCCACTCTGGTGGTGCCTCACCGCTCTGATGGTTTCGATCAGGCCATCCAGTAAGTGTCGCACACATCGGGCCGCAAGTTGGAACACAGAAAACCTTTTAAAGGTTTTAAGGAACTACACGTTTATACAAACAGTGAATCATGTCGAAACTTCTCCTGGTTTCATTGTGACCTGTAGTTTGTGTAATTCCACTGAAAAATAAATCTTGTCAGTGGAAAAATAAATATTTTGCAAATGTAAATTAGGCTGGTTGTATAAGTGCACAGCATTACACTAATACTCTGTTGATGCACCTTTTGATTTGTTCAGTTTTCTTGGGTAGGAGCTGGCGTGATACACCGTAGTGTAGTTTCCCCACTCTTTGTTGCAAAGCACTCAGATTATGAGGACATCTCTGCACCTCCGTCTTCAGCTCACACCAGTGACGTGGCTCCGGCTGGCTCATTCAAAACTTCAGTTTTCTGTTTGTTGTTTTTAAATGCATCCTCGGTCGTGTTGAAAGGGGAAATTCTTCTCCATGTGAACAAACAACACTTTGTTTTTGTGCTAAACGAACTGTTGGACTTGCAGACTAAAAATTAACCTTGGTCTTAAGGTTGGACGAATTTATCACCCATCGACGATAGGGCTGTTGGATATAATGATATATATCAGATGACGATGTGAAAACGTCTATCGTTTCATTTTACGCTGTCGTTTGTTTCGTGGTGTCGCAAAATAAACTGTTTACGTCAATAATTTTTCATCGTTTTGATGTCACTGTAGAATTTCTGAAAGTTCTCTGATATGTAACATAACCACACTACGGACGGACAAGCGACTGTTTTATGCGTTGTCGTTGGCAACAACGACGGTAACACCATCGCGTGCCTCCGCCGTCCATTTGATTATTTTTAACATAAACCTTTCACAATAAAGCTGAAGATCCTGCGGAGATCTTTCAAAATAAACTGAATTACGTGAAATATGATGCAGAGTGTTTACGGATGAGAAGCTAAAAAGAGCTGTCGGGTGCTAAAAAATAAACCTTAGAACAGGCTTTTGCCCGCAGCCGTGTAATAAATGCTCACAAAGAAAACTGCAGCTGTTTAAACTTATGTAACACTCGACTCCAGCTACACGACGCGCAGCTGAAAACACTTCACGCAAGTTGAGCTGCCTGAGATTCACAAAATTTACAGAAAATGTAAAATGTTTGATTATATGTCGTTGTGACGATAAATGTCTGATATCGGGATATGAGATTTTGGTCATATCGCACAGCCCTAATCAACGATAAGCTGAGCCGTTCACCGGTCGTTTTTACAAGAGCGATTTATTTATTTATTTATTTATTTATTTATTTGTCCTTGAGTAAGTTTGCTAATAAGGTTGGTTGAAGCTAAGGGGGGCAGTCAACAAAAAACGGTAATAGTGTGCAGCGATTCACTTACTCAAACTCATAACAGAAGGAAAGAAGGGCAGTGGTCTATGTTCAGAAAAAACAAAACATGTAATTTAAATTAAAGAAAACACAGAAGAAAAACTGGCTTTTTTCCATTATAACTGCGTTTATCTGTCTTACGCACTCAACCAAACAACAAATACCAAATTAAACAAGTTAAAAATCAAAAAGTTTCTTCAGGCGAACAGAAATTAAAAAAAAAAAAAAATCCCCAACTTTAAGTCTTTTGTGCAGTTTGGTGCATTTCAAAAAAGTAGCTGTATTATATTATTATTATATTATATTAATACTGAAACAAACAAAGTTTTCTAAGCACACAAATCAGTCTGTGCATGACTACGTTGCTCCTCCCCTCATAAAAGTCACCTGTGTGAATATATCACCTATCGTGATTTAATGGACTGATGAATGTTGGTTGGAAAAATTGTACATATAACTTGACCAGATCTCATCAGACAGAAACACATTGTTTTATACACTATCAGTCACACAGACACACCTTCTCATTTAATGTTTTTTCTCTATTTTCATGACTATTTACATCATAGATTCTCTCTGAAGGCATCAAAACTATGAAGGAACACACGTGGAATCATGTAGCCAACAAAAAATTGTGAAATAACTCAAAACATGTTTTAAAATTTAGATTCTTTGAAATAGCCGCCCTTTGCTGTGATTACTGCTTTGCACACTTGGTGTTCTCTCGATGAGCTTCATGAGGTCGTGGTTTTCCAGCTCCTGGAGCATTTATCTGGGCTCTAATCTGAGGTGTTGTTAACTTGTGATCCGATGCTCGGATAAATTCGTCTTGTTCTTCCTTTTCTGGGCCGGTCCTCATGTGAGCCAGTTTCCTCGTAGCGCTTGATGGTTTCTGCGACTGCACTTGGGGAGTTTTCGCAATTTCAAACTGACTGACCTTCAGTAATGATGGACTGTGGCCTCTCTTTACTCAGCTCATTGAGAGAAGGGTTTGCAGCGCTGTCAACAAAGCAAAGAATGGCTACTTGGCAACAAATTTAGATTCCATAGATCTTACTTAATATATGTGATTCTTGAGTTTGTATCTACAGTGTGGAAAGAAGTAAAAATACAGAAAAATGATTAAATGGGAAGGTGTGTGTGTGTGTGTTAATGTTTTAATGGGAGGAAAATCTGCAAAGAACTACTGTGTTGTGTGCTACATTATCCTGTAGCATACATTACTGTAGTACAGCACGTGTATAGGCCACAAACATGCAGTCATGTAGAGCTGTCTGACTGCATCTCCTCAAACTGAGACTTGAGTTCGTATAAACCAGCCTTTATTCATTCAAACTTGATCATTTGCTTCTAAAATGAAATCTTAACTGGTCCGTTTTGGTCGCTCCACAGTCGCCTAATTCACGTTCGTGCTTCTTTTGTTTCTCAGCTCGCCACAGGTAGCTGGCGTGCCGCGCTTCAGGTTTGGCCCTTCAGAGGACATGCCGCAGACCAGCTCTTCCTCACACTCTGATCTGGGTCAGCTCGCGTCACAAGGAGGTAATCTACCAAATGTTAACCCCAAAGAACCATCAGTACGCACCACAGTCTCTTTAACTGCAAACTAATTCTTCTTCTCTTCAGGTCTTGGGATGTATGACAGTCCCTTGTTTTTAGCCACTCACGAGGAGGAGTCTGGTGGACGCAGCGTTCCCACCACTCCGCTACAAGTTGGGGCTCCAGGTATTTGTCTGTCTCTGTCAGTCTGATGTGAAGGGATGTGTCCGTTAAAGCATGTCGCACTGCCTTTTCCCGAGCTTCCTCAAAACTATCTTTTCTAGGATAAGTGTGATGAAATTTGGGTTTGGGAGCACTACAAGTTACTGGAAAGTTGAAATTTGTTTTCATCTTTCTATCTTCCAGTAACTGTTTTCTCAGAAGTGGCTCAGTCCGACACAACAGAGCACGCCTCTCAGTCTGTTCCCATGGTGAGCACATCAACACCAGGAGCTGCCGGTGCAGGGGAGGAGAGAGACGACGTCTTCCTGGAGCCAGACACTGATCGGTGAGCCTCGCCCTCTCAGCAGCTTGTCACTCCTCGAACTTCTGCCTCTTTGAAACCTTTCGTTCCACTCGGTTTCAATAACTTCACCAAAATGAGAGAAGTTACGAAGGTCACAGTTTACATAATCCGAGGTGCATTTTGCTTGATTCAGGCCCGGTGCTGAAGTGTCGATGGACCCCGTGGTGTCTCAGGGCGATATGGAGGAGTCGAGCCAAGCGTCCGACAAGAGCAGCCTCCCCTCCACCAGCCAGGAGCCTTCCTCCAGCTCTGCAGGTGCACTGCAGCCTCGTGACTGTGCCGTTCCCCATCTGTTTTGTCTTTGTTGCATGTTCAGTAGGTTATGTTTGTTTTTGTTTTTTTTAGATACAAGCAGCGCTCCACCAAAACAGTCCCGGCCCGGGCCCAGCAGACAGCTCCAACGATGGCCGGACAGCCGCGGCGGCCGCATGAAGAGAGGAGGTAACGCGTTTGAAAGCTCGTGGTAACAGTGATGTAACACGAACGTTATAATGGGCACAAGACTGAGCAAAGATTTTATTACTGCTTTAAATGGCCACTCATAAAGGACTTCAGACATTTCATTCAGGCTTTTATTAATGAAAAGCACGACAGGAAACACGGTACATTCATTGTGGTTATTCAGAACACATTTTACTGTCACCATATTTTTATTTTTTATTAATTTTTTACATCAGTGCAGCAAACCCGTCTAAAAACATGCTTCCATCTCCACAGGTCAAGCTTTTCCGTCATGGAAACAGGGGAGAAGATTCGCCCGATGAAGGAAAAATCAAAGTAGTTCCCTTCAGGAAAGCTCAGACTGATCTGTTGTTATGAAGCGTGTTTGGCTTTGATTTAGTTTCATTTTGTTAATGCGATTAGATACTTTCTTGTTATTGGGTCCATCCTGATGTGTTTTATGATGATTATAATAAACTTACAAAGCGAAAACATTTTTGTTGTTTTACTGTGAACATCTGATGAAGTTGTTGGACTGCGGTGATGAGCCGGCCGCAGGAGGAGCGATGACGGGACGTTCACCATCCAACCTCACGTTGTAGGATTTTGCTGCAGAAGCAGAATAAACAAAGTTCATTAGACGATTACATTAATAGCTGATACTTACAAAACAATATTTTCCTTCGTGCCGCTCTATATTCAGGTCGACTGGCATGAACGCGGCACAGAGCTGTTTATCAACACGGTCGCTGCTACAGTTTGCAGCTCGTCCACGGACACCCGCCTGTTTTCTTACGCATCACCATTGAAATGGAAATCTTGACTGTGGGAACTGCAATAAATCTGAGCTGCAGGTGCACACCCTAACACACACACACACGTGGTCCTTGTTAACGACATGCCGACGGACACGTGAAGGACATTCTGTGCTTCTGAAGTTGAGCAACAAAGGCGTGCGTAAACACCACTGCTGCTTCAAACACTGCCAAACCGCATGCTTTTATTCCAGCTCTGTAAACAGTGCGGTGTGTGTGACTTACGTCCTGAGAAGACAAAGTATCTGTAGCCCTCTGGTTCGGCGGTTGTGGGAACAGACACGGCGGCTGTGACGGCGGGCGGGAAGCCTCTCCAGGAAGTCCGAATGTTGATGACCGGTCCTAAAACGGGGGCTGGAAATGAAACGATCCGGTTTAAAGTTGTGCCATGAAGCCAAACCGTACTGGCGTTGTCCAGTGCAGTGTTTTTGTTTTGTGAACAAACCCTTGTTCATCCCATAAACCGTACGATGGGTGTTTGTTTCCATTTTGCAGTTATTTGCTCCTCTCCACCAGCTATGACTCGCTTTTTCGGTGCAGTGTGCGCGCTGCAGCTCGTGTACACGTTTAAGCCAAAGTCTAAGCATGGAGCCAGTCATACGTCTGTAAACACGCTTAACAATAGTGAGGATTGTCCGGGGTTCGCTTCACGAAGTTCACGCACAACTATTGTAAAAGTTAGTGTGCACAAACATAAAGAGAGGTATTAAGTTGTTCTTTATGAGTTATAGAGAAAGGGAAAATGTTCAAATTCAGTGAATGGAAATTGGATTCATACTTGTTGGATTCTACATTAACTTTTTAAAAGTGGAGGCAAAGTTGTTGAACCACAAAAACACAATGATATAATGTGGTGTAAATATTATATCAGAAATGTCGTTATTATTACTGCAGATTATCAGTAAGGAAGCTGATTGAATGCTGACCGATAACTCGTGGCGAAGGGGCGGGATTACTTCCTGCTCTTCTATATGTAACTGAATCAGAACAGGTAACGGTGAAATGTTTTGGCTTTATGTTGTGTAGCTGTGTCTCTTCTTTTCTTTGCTAAATGAACTTTGTATATTGTTTACATGATCGAAATAAACTGATTGGTTACCTGCTTGTCGAACTACTCGGTTGCGGACTGTGTAAACGTCATACTGGACTTTCTTGCCACATGTTGGCCTGACACCAGCCTGGTATGAATACTTCTGAACCATTCCACCTAGAGGAAAAGAAAGTAAACATCTTAAAACCTTTTTATGTGTTCAAAACAAACATTGTACACATTGTTTATTACAATTCTCTTTCTGAAGCAATGAACAGCAAAATCTATCTTTTCTGGTAGTTTAATAAGCTCCGCCCCCCTAATTTTTACCTCTCTTGAAGAAGTAGACTGACTCTGCCCTCCTCTTGTACTGGGGCACCGACAGGGCGGCCGTGATGTGGCCCCGCAGCCCGTCGAACCCCGTTGTAATGACTTTGGGGTAGCCGGGGTCCAAAGCGTCGTTTTCAAATCTCCAGTACTGACTTCCCTGTGAACACCATGCAGTGTTAAACTCTGGGCAGATAAAGGGTAACGCTGTTCGCTCAGTGGTTCTGCTGAGATTGGTCCGTTTACCTTGAAAATGTACGTCTTGCCCTGGCAGTTACAGCGGGTGAACACGGTGTCAATGGGTGACGGGACGCCCCACTCCTGGGTGATGCCTCTGGGTGGACCTGGCACCCTGTTACTATCCAGCAACCAGAAGTAGTGACCTGTAAAAGTGATAATATCACTATATAGGGTTTTAGATAAGCTATTGTAACATTGTAATTTCATTCTCTCAGTTTAATGCTTCATAATAATTTCCCCTCAGTTCTCCCCGTCTTCAATGCATTCCGTTAGTTTCTCTCTTATATGCAAATCCACTGTTGTTGGACTGGGATGACACGACTGATCCTTTTAGAGTTAAACCTGCACAGGAGCTGCACTAACCTCTGAACACCACCATTGTGCCGTTCCTCAGTGTGGTGACTCCACTGACGGGCCGCCCGCTGCATAGGTTTGTATCGTTGCTGTCATCTGGGGAAAGTAAAGACACCCGTGGGAATAAACACCACCCACCACGTAATCCCAGACTGTGTTTCTGGGCGCTGACTGTCATTTCTGCTGTTTTTGTGAGCTTGTTTTCACCTCTTAAATGTGGCTGAACTTTACTTCCAATTTCGGAGGAATGTCAGATTTATTTACAGCGTGAGGGAAAATGAAAAAACAACTGAGCTCATAAAACTGGTAGCTGCCTGTGATTACACGTAATCACAGGCTGCGATCGTGCCAGACTCGTAAAACAAATTAGATTTTCGGAAATTTTGGTACTTGTGCCCATCACAGAGTGAGTCCCTCAGGTGTTTTCTGCATGTGACATAAAGAATCTGGTCAAATTATTTTTTTAAACAGTCTTACCTGCTTGGTAATCTCCTGTATCGTCTATATTCTGGGTTTCCAGGGGCTTCGTGTCAGGTTTAGAAGTGGGCTTAGCTGGGTCTGGCTCGTATGGCTCTGGTTTTTCCACAGGTGGAGTCGGCTCTGGTTCTTGAGCCCCGGTGGGTTTGGAGGTCTGCAGATCGTCTGTGGCAATACTCCACGCTGCAGTTGTGGGTGAGGGAGCGTGGGTGGTCACAGCTTCAACCATTGATATCTCCTCAGATCCCACTGAGGAAGCACTGGTGGAAGGAAGAACTGAAGGGTTGCTTGCAGTGACATCCTCAGGGTGGCTTGCAGTGGGTTCCTCTGGGATGGTTGAGGAGGCAGAGGTGATGGTGAGCAGTGAGTTATCTGGTTCATCAGAGGGAAAGACAGCATCCATAATAGCCACTGCTGGTGTCTGCGCGTCCAGCTGTGGGGAGCTGGTTGAAGAACTAGGCTCGACTGAGGGTACTGAAGTTGATGTTGGCTCGCTGGAAATGTGGTCAGCTGCTGCTGTGAGCAGAGAGAAAGTCATATCACTGTAAATCAAGTCTTTTAATCGATTTAATAAAATAATTAAATATCAATTTGCATATTTTAGTTGCAATTTGTATCTTAGTTGCTACATTTGAGGTTTTTTTCTGCACTCTATTGCTAAAGTAACTCACAAAAACTGTATGAATCAAATACCATAAACAGATATCTCACATACTCGTGCTGTCACTCGGGGCCTCTGCAGTGGTGCTGACGAGGTCGTCGTTGTCTGAAGGAGTCCTCGCTGCAGTCGGGGTGGCCTCGGTGGAAATCTCACCCAGCGGGTCGACTGTGGAGAGCTCATAGTCACTGCTGATCTCCGGGACTGGACTGGCCTCCAGATCTTCAGGTTCAGTTTTAGAAAAGTCTTCAGTGGGAAAGATCGGGCCAGACACATCTGTGAGAATGTGACGAGAGCGAGATGAGGTGCGCACTTGGACGTAAGACTTGTGTAACTTTAGTGGGAAAGAGCTTTGCTCACCATCAGTGGGATCATCTGGTGGATGTGATGTTGGACCGACCGGAGGAACTGAAGAGTCATCTGTTGGCAGCAGCAGGGTTCACACAAACAGTTTAATCATTTAATCGGCCATCTTTATTTTTCCTACATGTCCTCCTCCGGACTCTGGATGCAAAAGTGTTCAGAGCTTTGATTGAAGAAAACTCCCAGAAAATGTCCTGTCCTCATTTCTGGCATCATTTAGCGCTTTCCTCTCTTGTGACTCAGCCCAACCCTCCCACACACAGTCCACTCACAACAACCTTGTGTTTCATTTGGCCTGTGAGACTAATGCCCCTGGATTTAGCCCCGAAAATAAACCACTGTGACAAATTCACAGCCATAAACATCCTCCTGACGTATGCGTTTTAAAATCCACCGAATCAAGTTCACGACAGTCATCAAAGTGACTGAGTGAGCATTTGTTCCTGTCATTAGAGCCAAATGTTGGATAGCTTTCTCTAGCAAAGTTCAAAAAGAGCAAACTCACCTTCATCGTTTCCCTCACTGAACGTAGAAAGCTGGTCTGTTGCCTCTTTCAAAGTTTGATCTGTGGGAACGTTCACGAACGAGAACAAAAATCACCATTATTGGTGTAGCCCCCATAAAATCTGCCTTTAACCCCAAATGACTGAAAATCTAGGAGGAATCGAACCTTTTACCAAGAAAAATATACCTTTGGATTTGTTATCATTTACATTATTGCATGAACTAGTCTTCTTTGCTGCTGCAGCACTGGCCTCTCCACTGTTCTGTTCTGCAGCAATTACCAAGACAGAAATTATTGTCAAACGTTGCATCGTTGCAGATTACTGCATGCGCTGCATGCTGCGGTTATACTGCCGTACTGTGCATGCTGGTGATGGACATGCAGGCAGAGTTAGAGTGGGGATGTCACATTCATCCTGGTCTAAGGAGCTTGGAAAGAAAAACGTCTGGATGTTTAACCTCTCAGCCGAGAAGCTTCTTCAGTTCTAGGGTCAAATGGTGGAGAGTCCCAGAGCCCCCTTGGTGTGGTAAGCCCCGCCCTCTGTTCAAAGATGGTCGTTCACAGTGGAC